ACACAAAATTACAAGATTTCAGGTTAAAAATCGATTCTCGGCACCTAAAGATGAAGCGAGTGACACTGACATTTAAGATCGATATATATATCCCTTCTCGATATCCGAGATAGGAATCGCAAAATCTTTCTCGTTACAACACGTCTCGAGTACGAAACATGAGAATCCCACTGCTGATCCTATTGTCCTCAAGTTTCACCTTAAGCATGCCTACAGGTACAAGTCATTCTTGAAATCGGTGACTACCATCAAGCCTGGTATCTGTTGTCTTTCTTCCACCGAGGGAACATTCCACCAAGTTCAACTATGGCTGGGAAATGACCTGCCTCTTTAGATGTATGGGTGGAAAATTGAGAACAACTGCCTGGTCCCAGTGCACAGTGAGTTAGCAGCTGCACCGGAGGACATCCTGAAAATAATTTTCTGCCGATGCACGAAAGACTGTGCCTACGCGAAGTGTGGCTGCAAAAAAGCAAACCTTAAATATTCCACATCATGCTAAAATTGCCAAAGGAACTGCCTGAATGGGGTCCCTCAAGTTGACTCCGTAGATGACCAAGAGGATTCTATGACTGTTTCCTAACAGGGGTCCGATGGAGAAGATATTGGAGATAACCCACAGAGCACGTCTAAATGACGTCTTTCAGGGACATAAAGGATGTCCAAAGGACGTTCTCTTTTGGTACCGGGACGTCCTAATGTCCCGTTTCCGTCCATCTTAGGGACATCCCAAAAGGACGTCGAAGGGACCTTTGCATGACGTTCTAGGGACGTAAATCAGACGTCCGAGGGACGATATTTGACCATACTCCATAAAGGGTAATAATAATAAAAATGTTAACAGTAAAGGGGCTTTATTTAACAACTTTTATCCTGAAAAAACTAGCTAGAGTTAAACGTTTTCAGTTTACAAAAAAAAAAGGAATTAATTAAATTTAACACACAGCGCTGGTAAGATGAAACTTTGAGTCCTACTTATAGCTTGTGTCGACATAATTCAGTTTTATAATTTTGTCAAAATTAGTTTTGTTCCAACTTTCCGCCATTAAGGTCTTTTCTTGTCGCCAGCGCTACCGCCAAAATACACATCACGTATTCCACCTCAACACAAAACACACACTTCACTTTATAACCACTTTACCACCAACATTAAAAAAACGCTGTGTCTAGAATCCCGGTACCGGTAATACATTTTTTACTATATTTTATACAATACTGTTTTCGGATGTAACATTAATAAAACAAGTATCTCTCATTTTTTATTAATAGCTTTGCAATCAGACCAATACCACATTTTGGGTATTTTACACACACTGGCACATTTCATATGCCTTTTAATAAACACAAAGAACAAGCAATAGTTTTGATGTCGTTGATAATTTGATGATGATACAAGTACTTGAGGTACTTTTTTGGTAAATTTCATTTCCAATTCTTCTTCATCTTTCTTTGCCTTAATAATTTGACCAGCATAGTATTTTTTACGCCGTGACTAGCAGTACATCGGATGTACACGAATTATTTGTACATCGGATGTATCCGCATTATTTGTACATCAACAACTCTGGATAAGCATCATAATGTAGTTTTCATCTGGGAAGTTTGCATAAACATTCCTTTAAAATTGTTTTCAGAGTCTTTTAAAATACTAACTCTACAATCATATTTATTTTTCAAAATATCCACACACTAATCTAGGCCAATAAGGGCATTGTTTGTAGCGCTTTGTTTAATGTTCGATAGATCTTTTAATGTTAGCTTTAGACCTTTGTAAATATTCAGAATTTTTTTTCCTGAAAGCTTTCCAGGATCATAACGAATGAAACAAAAAACAATCGTCGTTCGATTGTTCGATTTGTGAGTAATGGTCTCGAGTTCGAAAAAGACAATTCATAGAAAAAAGCACTTTCGGTTTTCACGATTTTTTTAATTTTCCTGGCATTTTTCCTTGCAATTTTTTTTTCAATTTTTCTTTATTCGGGACTATTACGAATATTTAAGGAGTGTAGTTTTCTGTTCCTGTTTAATTTTGTTAATATCTTGAAATTTCACATTCATCGACCTGACTCAAAAAAAGGGAATTGGTTAGAAACAAAAAAAATTTTTATGTAAAAGTATATTTATTACTTACAATATAATATTCTTTATTATATATCATTATATTATGTAATATTAAATATTAAAACATAAGATATATTTAATATCGGAAGACATTTTAGATTTTGCTGTCTAGTAAGGCACTTCATTTTTTAATATATAACTTTTTACAATAAAAATATATAATATCTACTTATAATTTGACATCACATTTACATACATAATCAAAAGAAAAATAAATTCTTCATCAGGAATAAAACTTTTATTTTAAATAGTAAGTGTGCACATTGCACAGTAGAAAAAAGAAAATATATGAAATATTTCAGAACGGCGTATTCTAACTTATAGAATAAACAGTTATCATAGACACCCAGTGGAGATTGCGAGAAATTGATATTTTGTAAACAAAAAATTCTGTTCCATTGAACCGAGAAGAAATCACTGATAAACGGATTAATTTATACAAAAATAACATGTTATCTTAAAAGAATTATATAAAATAACTGATAATTTTTGGTAATTTTAAAAATCGTTAGATATTTAACATATCAAATTAAATGCTGTTGTCAAAATCACTAAATATTGATGAAACAAGAGTTCATAATTTTGAAAATAAACTATTATTTTTTAGTTATTCTATTGATAAACATTTGAAATTAAATTTCTAACATCTAATCGCAACAAATTATTTTTTTAAATTTATTATGAAATTTTGATTTTTGTTATTAGTAGGATATCAATTTATATTAAATAAAATCAAATGATGTAAATAATCAATTTCTGGTAAATCTCCAAATAATATTGTCAACAAGAAAAAAGGGAATTGCTGCAAATAAAGGTAAAAAGTGCAGGTTGGTATATAATTACCTATTTTCTTGAAAATTATTATTATATATGCATCTATGATGAATTAGTAAATATGCAGTTAAGGCAAATCTTAATACTGATTTAGTGTTAAAGAACACTAAAAATATCACAATTGCTACTAATCTTTAAATATAAAATATGTCGTAATTGGAGGTCTCAGACTTGCTACTTTATATAAAAATAAACGATTGAAACATAAGTTACCTACTGAAATGAACAATCTTTTTGCTTCACTGTAATAACCACTACGCGCAGATATATGGACTGGCTTCTAAAGAACTCACAAAGGCATTAAAAGAAACAATCTTGTATGTTATTTACATAATATTCAAAAAAATATATACACTATCAGCTTCCAATATGCCATGCACAGGTTCGTGTGAAAGGTACAGAGTTGGTATTGGAGCGAGCGTGAAAATAACGGTTGCAGCGTTGCCATTTATACGATCCGATCGCGTTGTAACGTCGGCCAAGCCGTATAGGCTGGCATCTCTTGTTTTATTCCTTTCCTGCTTATTCTAATGCACTTGTGCCAAGGGATATTGAAAGGTATTTGTTGGCTGATAGCGTATTTTAGGTTTTTTACTTTTTAAATACACTAAGTTATTAGTTTTCAATGAAGTAAAATGATTTATTTATAGTAACATAAAGTACCTCGCAATTTAGAATCATTAGAAGGTAATTATTAAACTTAGGCTTAAAAACAGGTATTTTTAAAAGTAAATCTATTGCTTTTCAAGATTTTGCTCTTTCGTGTGTTTTCGTTTGTTAGTTTATTAAAAAAAAAAAATCAGTGTTGTGTCACAATCATTATTTAAATTATTATTTTTGAAATCAAGTACCTGATTTCAATTAAAAATGGAACACAGAACTGATGATTATCTGATTAAAAATAAAGCGATTAAACAAAAACTTGCTTCGGTAAAATGTTACTAAGATGTTACTCGTTTCCGAAAATTAAACGAAACATTCTTCGGTAAAAAATAACTCGTTTTCGAAATACAGGGTGTTAAAATTGAAAATTCAAAAATTATGAATGACTAATTTTCTTATTACTCAATATGATTAATTGATTATACTAAATTCGGCAAACGTTTTTGATGGTTGGTTTTTGAGATATTTACGATCAAGATTGATATTCTTGACATTAATTTAATTTATTTAATTAATTATGTAATTGACTTTATAATTGACTTTATAATTATGTAGACATGTAGATATGTAATTATGTAATTATGTAATTATGTAATTATGTAATTATGTAATTATGTAATTATGTAATTATGTAATTATGTAATTATGTAATTATGTAATTATGTAATTATGTAATTATGTAATTATGTAATTATGTAATTATGTAATTATGTAATTATGTAATTATGTAATTATGTAATTATGTAATTATGTAATTATGTAATTATGTAATTATGTAATTATGTAATTATGTAATTATGTAATTATGTAATTATGTAATTATGTAATTATGTAATTATGTAATTATGTAATTATGTAATTATGTAATTATGTAATTATGTAATTATGTAATTATGTAATTATGTAATTATGTAATTATGTAATTATGTAATTATGTAATTATGTAATTATGTAATTATGTAATTATGTAATTATGTAATTATGTAATTATGTAATTATGTAATTATGTAATTATGTAATTATGTAATTATGTCATTATGTAATTATGTAATTATGTAATTATGTAATTATGTAATTATGTAATTATGTAATTATGTAATTATGTATGTATATAATTATATAATTATATAATTATATAATTATGTAATTATTTTGTAATTATATTGTAATTATATTGTAATTATTTTACAATTATTTTGGTAATTAATTATTTTGTAATTATTTTGTAATTATTTTGTAATTATTTTGTAATTATTTTGTAATTATTTTGTAATTATTTTGTAATTATTTTGTAATTATTTTGTAATTATTTTGTAATTATTGTGTAATTATTTTGTAATTATTTTGTAATTACTTTGTAATTATTCTGTAATTATTTTGTAATTTTGTAATTTTTATTTTATACATTATAAATTCCCATTAAGAAGTACATGATTTATTAAAAAAATTTAAATTGTTGACTAAATAAGCTTAAAATTTAGAAGGTATGCCATGCCGCACGCCACTGGCAAAGTTTATTTAACTGATTTTTGTGTCTGATAAAGTATATCTTAATGACACCAAAAATGTTTGTTCAGTATAATTTTATAAAAAAAATTCAAAATTTTAAAATTAAAAATAAATTAAAACTACAATAAAGATATATAATGCTTGGATTCTATATCATAATCTTCACAGTTAAACAAACCCCCTTTTTTAATCAGATTTTTTTATCAATAGGCTTTTTCCCATTGCAGAGATTTTTAGTTGATATTGTTTTCTGTTTTTGATTTATGAAAAAAAAAAAAAAAATTATAGCCATTAATAATTTTTGAATTTTAAACTTTAACACCTTGTATTTCAGAAACCAGTAATATTTTTTCTAAGCATGTGTCGTTTAATCGTCTTATTTTTAATCAGAAAATCTTCCATTGTTCTGTGTCCCATTATTAATGAGATACCCTGTATATTTGCCCCCTGTTTTAAAATCAAACACTAGTGCTAATTCTATCTGGGAAAATATCTAAGGCACAGTAATAACAATAATCTTTAGTCTAAATATAGAAAGTTTCGGGAAATCCCCTCAAGGAAATTCTCAAATCAATTTCTGAAGCTTTAAATTATCCAATTAAAACTTTATGGGGTCTATTCCGTGAAAATTCCTTTATATTTAACGGCCTTTAAAAATATTTTCTTCTTTAATTCGGTCACTATTTAAACGGATCTTTAAAATACATTAGAGGACTATCTTAAAGGAATCTGTTTAAATAATGATAGAAGTAAATTAACGAATACGAACATATTTTTATAGGCCGCCAATATTTTTAAAGGCCGTTAAATATAAAGGAATTGTTACAGAATAGACCCCTATGTGCGATAAAAAAATATCAAAAGATGTATAAATATAGTTGATTTTGAAGTCTCAGATCTCTAAGAAATGTCAAAAGAGATAATAATTAACGAATAATATTTGCTTAAATAAGGTAACCTTCTGCTTCTAAACTATCTGTTCGCTAGTAACTAGTTTATTTTCCAGATAGAGACGTCTTTTATGATTGCCTTTCAACAGACTGATTTTTAAGACATTATTTTAACATAGGAATTAATTAAACAATTAGAAATCTCACGATGGATAATATAAAACTAAATAAAAAATATCTTTGTATCCCGGCCTGACCGTTTAAAGTAAATTATGGTCCGAAAATCAACTTATTCTGGAACACTAAACTGATCACAAAGCTTCACCAGGGCCTCCAAGGTTTTTCTTCTTCCATAGGCTCGATCTTCCTCACAACCAATGATAAAGGCTGGCTATACAACGAATCTGTAGGCTCCGGACTGTGACTAGGCGAGTAATTGGAATAACCGCTAGTCGCTGAGGCTGTCGACGCCGTCCTCTCAGGCATAATCGGCACTAACAAAGGCACTGTCGAAGGTTGTTGTGGAGTTTGTAAGGAAGTAGGTAGAACTAAAGCTATATCGCCATTAGGTAACCTAGTAGGAACTAACTGTAACCCTGCACCATTACCGTTACTCAGGATAATTCCGCTATTCTGCGGCACCGTTTGTTCCACATTTTTCTGATTATTAGGTAGGATATGCACTTGAACTTGAGGCACTTCTTGTAGCTTTGAACCTTGATTAAGGCAAATTGCGAGGTGTTGAAGTAGTTTGCGTCGAACTATCGGGTCCAATCCTGGAAATCGTCCGACTTCAGAAGCGCATTCGCTGAATCCGGCCCTGAACTTGTTGAGGACTGAGGGATCTGTTGCTGCAGACATTGCTACTTGTTGTCGTTGTAGGTTTTGAAGGTGTTTTACTGTCATTTCTAGAATATCGGCTTTTTCGAGTTTTGAGTGTCTTGCAGGCTGAAACGAAAAAAAAAAAAATATATTTATAATAAATACAAAAGTTAATTTTTAATAAAGATTTAATTTAAAAATAGAAAAATATTTGTAGGGCCAAAAGTAAACCAGATAACAGCCCTCAATACCCTCTAAGGAGTACAGAGGCTGGCATGCCTTTGTATTACAGGAGCACTGAGAAGTACATCGACAGCCTCCATGGAAATCATTCTAAACTTCCCACCTCTTGACCTAGTCATAAAGGGGGAGGCCAGAATGAGTGCATACAGACTAGACATCTCCAACAACTAGAACCCACTGGGACATATAAAACATACCAGAATAACACATGGGATCAGATCACATGACACCCCTCCTAACCTTTAACAGATTCTTCCAGGTCAACTGTAACTGGAACGAGGTAAATAAGGAGATACATAAATACTTGTTTAGCGGTCTCGTATGGTATACGGATGGATCTAAAACTAACAAGGGAACAGGCTCTGGCGTACATGGAGTTAAACCAAAATGCGACATCATTGTCTCACTAGGAAAACATGCCACTGTATTTCAGGCTGAAATACATGCAATTGAATTGTGTGTACGAGAGAATTTAAGAAGGAAGTACAAAAAAAAACAAACCATCCTAATTCTCTCAGATAGTCAAGCAGCCTTAAAGGCTCTTGATTCAAACAGAATCAAGTCAAAGCTTGTCTGGAACTGCCTTGGAATATTAAATGATCTCGCACCCCACAACAAGGTAAAATTAGCGTGGGTACCAGGGCACAAAGGTACCCAAGGAAATGGAAAGGCTGATGAACTCGCCAAAGAGGTATCAGATTTACCATTCACAGGACCCAAACCTGTATTTAGGATAAGCAAAACCTCTGCTTGGCAGGCACTGAACAGGTGTATAACCACAAAACACCAAATTCACTGGCAACAGATAAGAGGCACATAATCAGTAAGCTCATACTAAGGGGACCAAACCCACGCATGGCTACTTGGGCATTACAACTCGCAAGGCCTCAAATATCCAGCATTGTGGGATTACTAACGGGGCACTACTTGCTGAAACACCATCATGTGAGGGGATTACACAATGATCCCACTACGTGTAGACTTGTAACGGTTGGAACCGTTTTCGTTATTTTAACACCAGCACCTCTACACAAATGTCATTTGTCGTTTATGCCTTGCGTCAAAAGTTCCCATTTCATTTTGATTTGTATCTGTCAACGAAAGAGTTGATCTAAATTTTAAATTATCTGGGTCATCCGATGTACTAAATAAATTTTATCTATCGTTTATTCCGTCCGATTTTATAAGGTAAGCTTTTATATCGATATTTTGTTGAAAATATATATTTTCTACAAAGATTTCTTAATTAAAATGTCAAATTTGAAACATAACCTCAACATGAATAACACATGGATAATACGTTTTGTATAATTTTAATATTATTTTGTTTGGAATGGATATTATGCTTAACTATATTTAAATATGTTAAATAAGATTTTTCCTTTTCATATTAATTTTAGTCTCTGTGAAACTATTCACTTAATAGTTTAAATTGTTCAATTATTAGTTAATGGCATTTTATCTGGTTCCTATGCAAATTTCATAGTTCCTTTCTTAATATCGTTACCTTTTCCTTGTAGCCTGGCTATATATAGACGGTTCTGTATGAGTTATATCTTTAAACCTCACCCCTCTACATTTGATGATAGAGAATGTGGCAAAAAGGACACGATATAGAATGATCAGGAGCGGAGTAATCAGACGAAATTCTACTTGCTTCAGGACTAAAGATACCTGGGACATGCCCCAGGATGAAATGCAAAAGAAGTACAGTTTTGTGAAAAACTTCAAAACCACAGAGCTGGGCTGCAAGAAAGAATGGAGCCAAGAATCCATCGCGCTTGCAACCGAAAGACGTGCTATTCAGTGGTACACGGACGGTTCCAAAACCATAGAAGGAACTGGAATAGGAGTGTATGGGCCGAGAACCAAGCACTCCGAAAGCTTGGGAATATACCCAAGCATCTTCCAGGCGGAAATTCACGCCATCGAGAAGTGTATCCAGTTTAACATCGAGAGAAACTATCATAGACAAGAGATTATCATCATGTCCGATAGTCAAGCAGCCATCAAAGCGCTGAGTTCTTACGTAATCAGCTCAAAAATGGTATGGAGATGCCTAGAACAATTGAATGAGCTAGGCGAGAAAAATAGAGTTACTCTCACTTGGGTCCCGGGACATAACGGGGTACAGGGTAACGAGATTGCAGATAGTCTTGCAAGGAGAGGGGCTCAAACACCCTTTGTAGGACCTGAGCCGTTCTGTGGTATCAGCAGTAACATAATATTAGAAGAGATTAAAAAAGAATTGGGTAGTAGAAGAACCGATAATTGGAACAATCTCTTGGGGCTGAGACAGGCCAAGATACTTCTGGGTGAATATAACCAAAAAAGATCGGAAGCCTGCATCTGCCTGAGCAAGAACAGGCTACGTATTGTAACAGGGATCCTTACCGGGCACTGCCGACTAAAAGGACACCTAAGTAAACTGAGAGTAGTAGAGGATAGTGAGTGCAGATTCTGTGAGGAGGAGGACGAAACCTCCATTCACATCCTAACTGAATGTGTAGCACTCCAGAATCCAAGGGCACTATATCTAGGAGGATATCAAATAGAAGAGGGAGACTTACCTAACTTGAAGCCACTTCAAATCCTACACTTCCTTGAGAAAAAGGATTGGAAGGGTCGCTATAGGCATTGAGACATTTCCTTGGTGCAGTGGCGACAGAAGGGGGCACAATAGATCTTTTAGGTCGCAGTGTATTAACACCCCATTATTAACATAACATGAGTTATATCTAAAGAAGTTCAAGCTGCATCTAAAGAAGTTTATTTCAAGTTATATCAAGAGGTTCAGTTCGAGTTACATCTAAAGAAGTTTATGAGATTTAAGTTTATGAAGATTTATCCCTAAGAGTTTGGTGCTACCCGAAGAGTATCGTTCTAGTCCCTTTGAAGAAGGCCTATGCAAATCTATCCTTTATACTACCTCCTGTTATAACAGATAAGTCTATTTTTATGCAATAAACCATCTAAATTTGAATTAATAAATCTCCGTGAATTAGAATTTGTTACTGCCTTATCTTATATCTTAATGGTTAGTGATTTTCTATATTTTTATCATTAACCGATAGTCAAGTATAAAAAGTTTTAAATATAGTGGTGCCCAACGTCTTGTTCAAAGTAATACGAGTTATTTAATAACCTAACCCACTCCCAAAATCATTTGAGCTTAAAATACTATAAAAAATAGATAAAATAACAAGTATCAGATTACAGACTCTGTATGGAAGAGAAAGAAACCTCATACCATATGATCTTCGAATGCGAAGCTTTTACTAGGCGACGTTTCATCCTTTTCGGCCTAGAACCGGAAAGAACGCCCCAGGGATACTTGGTAGGGAACCTATTAAAACTAACCAATGACACAGGACTATTCCAAAGATAGTACCTCAACACGGGGAAAGCAGGGGAATACAATAGACCCAAGAGGCCGCAGTGTTCTGGGCCAAACCTAACCCTACTTGCTTACAACCGATAAAGATAAAAAAGGTTTGAAGTTGAGCGATAATAATTACTATAAGAAATTGCATGAAAATAAGTTAAAAAAAAATGTAGAAACTTCAATCTCTATTTATCTAAATTAGCTGAATTAGAGTGTGGTTTAAAACCCACTCGTATTGGAAGCTCATTGTACCCCTCACAGTTTCTACCCCACCAGATTAATTTTCTTGATAAATTCAAGAATATGTCTGATAGGCGCTTTCGCGATTTCTTCAGGTTCTAGATACTGCACCTCGAAGTACCATTTCCGTTCGTCCTCTTCTTCATATATTCTACATAGGGAGATAGGGTCAAGTGGAAGAATATTTTTATTGTCTACTCGACAATAAAAATAAACTTCGCCCTTTATTTTCATTTACGCATTTTACGCCAAAGAATATAATTATTGTAATTTATAATTGTTTACTGTGTATTTGAAAATAATAAAGACGATTTATTATTATTATTATTATTATTATTATTATTATTATTATTATTATTATTATTATTATTATTATTATTATTATTATTATTATTATTATTATTATTATTATTATTATTATTATTATTATTATTATTATTATTATTATTATTATTATTATTATTATTATTATTATTATTATTATTATTATTATTATTATTATTATTATTATTATTATTATTATTATTATTATTATTATTATTATTATTATTATTATTATTATTATTATTATTATTATTATTATTATTATTATTATTATTATTATTATTATTATTTAGTTCTCTTCTAAGTTCAGGAAGTTCCAACCAGAGCCTATGGTGTTCTCTATTTATTTGTTCCGTTAGCACCCATTTAACATGTTGATATGAAATACTGCATGTGGGTTCTGGTCCAATTAGATTTTTTCCACTGTCTTCCTTGCTAGGAGGTCTGCTTTCTTACTTAGTTTCATATGCCCAATTTTTTAATCTAGGCATAAATAATTACAGTAGTGTGTACATTGAGTCTTCTTTGTCCAAATTTTCTTATAGTTTTTAAATTTTTATTTTAAGTTATTATTGATTAATAACCAACATGGATTTTGTCGCCACCAGTTTGTTAATTTTTGAGCAAAAAATATTAAATGTCTTGGAAGCCAAAGGACAACTGGATGGTGTCTATACAGACTTCTCCAAGGTATTTGATAGATTAGACCAGAGGTCGCCAACCTGTCTGGTAGCTCTCACAACGATTTTAATTTAAAAAATACAAACTGCAAAAATCAGAGAAGCTTCCGAAAATTCCACAAAAAAATCTAATTGTCATAATATTAAACATAAACAGCGGCAATGTTGCGGTGAGCGATCTGCCGCTGACGCCATCAAGCTAGAATTGGCTAGAACCGACCAGCCGTACCAGCGCGTTATTGTTCGAGAACGAT